AACGACAGCCACAAGTACTAAATGACGCACAGGCGAATGTTGCAAGTTATCAATCAACATACATGGGGAGATTATTGATGAATGCAATCCATTCAACAATCAATGTTAATATACAAAGTGAATGTGTTAAATCATCCCTACAAACATACAATGTCATGCCACAAATGATACAATATGTTTGTGACCAAGTTATGAAGGACATTTAGTAGATGAAGCAGTTGCCTTACGACACTTCTACCATCAACATCAGAACATAAGCAACCATATTCAATCTTGCAAGCAATGAAATAGGAGGAGATGTATAATTTGATCTCGAACAAATATACAAGCAATAATTCTTACAAGCATTAGAAGACATACAAGTAGATGTGGCAGTTCACCAATCAACAATACATAAGGAAGTCAAGAACATATACAAACACCTACAAGCCGTGTAGTAGAATATAATAGATGCTACATCATCCTTGTAGTTAACTCCTATACAATGTCAATCAAATATGTTAATCATTTGCAAGTAAGGACGAATGACATGCAACAAATGCATGCTCATACAAATAAAATTAGGAGATTCATTAGTGCACTATAATATACTTGCAGAAAGCAATAAGTAGTGCACGACAGTATACATGTACAAAGCACCAAACAACTCAATCTAGAAGTTGCTACAATATGCCACTGGATCCGCAACATTTATGCAAGCGGACAGAAGGCGTTTACAAATATTTCAAAGTACCTGGCACGTGCACCGTAATTTGTATACACATATGTATACAAAAAGGGGTAAGTGTTCCCTCGCATGAGCCCCAACGAGCGTGTTATTGGTACACACGTGACGTCTAGGGATGCTGCGCGAGCTAAATGATGAATCTAAGTTCGAACCTGATTCTCCTCGACACGGCTCGAACCATTAAATAAATATATGGTCACGAGGTCGACCAGGATATTTATTTTATACATTCATATTAAGCCTTTAAGATCCTTTATAAGAAAGATTCATCGATAAAACCAAACACCCGCATGGGCCCCAGCGAGCGTGTTATTGATTCACACGTGACTCCTAGGGATGTTGCTCGGGTCAAATGGTGAGTCTAAGTTTGAACCTGATCATCCTATACGGGTAGATAGGAGCCGACATGGTTTGACCATTAAATAAATATGCGACCGCGAGGACGGTCGGGATATTTATTTTATACATTCATATTAGGCCTTCAATAAAAAAAACTCACCAATAAATGCATTAACCCTACGAAGCCCGATCCTCCTAAATAGGTAAATAGGAGTTGACAGGGTTCGAACCATCAAACAAATATACGATTGAGTAAGACCAGTATAATTGTTTTAATACATTCATAATATGCCTTCAATAAAGAAAATTCACAAACAAAACCACAAAGCTTAGAGACCTGATCCTCTGTCGAGTAGTAGATGGAGTCGACAGTGTCCAATCAATGAAATTCCCAAATGCTCATTAATACCCTGATAATGACCATGTTGAACGAAGATCTCAATTGGAGGGGTTCACAAACACTTTCAAACGCATTTCCAAGCTCCAACCAAAATCCCAAAAATCATCCAATTCCAAATATTTAAAATATGAAAATCAACTATTCAATCACTTAAAGCAAAATCCATCCACCCTTCGTAATAGTTTGTTGGGGTGAACAAATTGAAATATGCTTGAGCTCACATAGAGCTAATGCCTAGTCGAAAATATCACTAGGATCCATTCTCAAATAATCTCTTGCTAGTAAGGATGTGATACGTGTACTCTAACCGGCGGTTTTGCCGCCAAATGACACCACATGATAAACGAATATGACCCGGGACCCTCTGAACCGAATGGTTTTGCCGCCAAATGGCACCACAAAATACCAGTTGTGGCCAAAGCCAATCTACTCCTTAGTGGCATCAAATCCTTGAGATATGAATCAATAGGATATAATCGATAGGGCACAAAGCCCTCTGTTAGCTAAGGTGGATTCAAATTTATCCTCTTAGACAAACATCCACCCCAGGTCTATAAGGTACCCTTGGCGAAGCAACCCATGGCTGTCGACAAGGATCCTTCTGTCAGGTTGGATCGACTACCTCCTCTTACTAAGTAGACTAGGGACCACAATGGCCCGGGACGATAGAACCATTAGATCTTGATCGGGTCCATCATCAATTCCCCCACCATCTGCTTTAAGTGCAAGATGGTGAAAATTTTTATTCTAAATATCAAACTTATAAACTCTTCAATTCCCAACCATTTTCCAACATCTCAAGCCCATCCTGCTACTATATGCTAGATAACACATATTCTTACGTATCTGATTGACGACTAGCCTTAATCGAAAGTTCTCTCTTGTGACCGGGAGGGGTAATTAACTATAGGAGCTTGCGCCTATAGGAAACTATAACTCATATCATAAAGTCCTCGCAAAATGAGGGCGAAATCTCTGGGTAGTTTCTTATCTACAGACTCGTCTGCCTTCCAAAATTTACCCCGGAACTTATTCCGTTAAAAGAAACTGCGACCGGAGGCTAGGGCCGAATTTTCAGAGCCCACACCCCCTTCAAAGCAACCCTAATCCCATCATAAATGCACTACTCATTTCCTCCAATGATCTTCCCTTAAACTTTTCCCGTCATAAATATAGCTTACATTTCCTCCGATGATCTCCCCTTAAACTTTTTCCTCCTTTTGGTCTGAAATGAGGTGCTGGGACCCACAAAGCTACCACGTAAGGGGGTGGGGTCCACAATCATATCATCCATCTATCATATTATTAGGTTTGTTGTGTAGTTGCTGCTCTTGATAAGGTTAAAGTAATTAAATATTGACCAACGCCCACTCATATTTATGATAATCAAAGTTTCCATGGTCAGGGTACTTTTGAATGATGATTCATCAATGAATTTAGTGTAATGATACTTACTAATTTCCTTTCGAATGGAGAATTTCACTAGACAAAAACTATTGAGTGTCCCTTTAATGACATTAAAAAAAGACTTGCTATTGCATGTGTGCTAAGATTACTTGATTGTAATAAAGTTTAAAAGGTTTCATACTTTCATGTATATGTCTCATGCAGGAATTGGTGGAGTATTGAATCAAGAAGGAAATCAAATTGCTTGTTTTATTGAGAAGTTAAATGAAGCAAAATAGAAATATTTAAATTATGACAGAATATTATGGCATTTTATAATTACTTTGATAGTAAGCATTAGTTGTTGCCGAAAATAGTTTCATACATTTGAGTCATTGGGTTTTAAAATAGTCTTTAGCTCATAAAAGTAATTAAGACATAGGCATGCCAAGTGTATTATATTCTTATAAAAAATACATAATTTTGCAAAACATTGTGCTAAAACTAATATTAAACTTGATATTGCCTTAAATGGGGTGGTTGTCATCTTACACATCATGTAAGTTAAAGTTAATGGCGTCAATCACATTAAATAGGATTATGCTAACTTTTAAAAGCTTTTAATGAAATATACATTGATTTAACTGTTGTCTCGCTAATGCTTAATAAAAATTCCATAATTAAGAATGGCTTTCTTCTTAGGGGAGCTTGACTTTGCATTCGTGACTCATCTATGAATATTTTTTTTAATTTTAAAATTACATTTTGGTGATGTTATATGGCTTTTCGGTTGATATGAAACTATGGAAATGGTTGAGAATATGCATCATTGGGGTTGAGAATATGTTCAAAACTAGGTGTTGCATGTATAGTGTCACAATGTATACATTGTTGCTTATTCCATGTAAATCTTAGGAAGATGTTAGCATGAATTTTGTTCTATGATTGTCATGAATGTGAGAAAAGGTGATTTTATTTTTGCAGTGATTTCTTTTTTTTTAATGGTTTATTTCATTCAATATTTAAAGTTATTGATTGAATGTTTATATTTTAATGAAGTGGTTAAACTATATTGATTACTTGGAACTTTTGTATGTGATAGAGATAAAATTCATAAGTTTCTTTTAAATAACATTATGGAAGTGGGAATCCAATTGAAGGATGCCCTGTTTAGCGATCTTGCTCCAAGCATGGGCCATGAAAAAGCTTGAAATATTGTCCATTTGGATGAAAGGTTTGTGAGTATGGTTAAAGGCCTATGTTGTGATCTGGGGCTATAATATGAAGTACAATTGAATTGAAACTTACTATAGCCATTCTATTCACATTATTTTTTCCTTAAATATAAATTTGCAAAAAAATAGTTGTACTATGCAATAGCGTCTGAGAAATAGAGATGTCCATTAAACGCACAGTATGCTAGTTTGAAATATGAAGTTGCACACAATTGATGCCTATATTGAGGGATTCAATAATTTGTTGGTAAAAAATGGTTACGATTTTTTTTTTTTTTTTTTGCTAAAATGTGTTGCGAAATGCCTATAGTTTTAACATTTTGTTTAGATTCAATGCTTCTGAACATCCAGTTATTGCTTTTGCATTTTGTAGGTGTTTACCAGTATATAAATCATGTGAGAATCATTATAATATGCTAAATTATAATTTAGACTTTTTCATGGCGAGCTTTTGAGTACTAATATTATAGCCAATTTTTGTTTATGCATGTGTTTAGCACATAAATGAATTTTAGTACCCATTTATGGCTATTTCTATTTGTACTTGATGTATTTACAGCTTTTTTTACACCCTTTGGAGGCTTTTCTTTGGGTTTTTGGCCCTAGAATTTAAATTTGAGAGCTGCTAGTATTATAGTCAATGAGGAATATATGAAACTAATGCGTAATGCCACTTAACAATCTATCAAAGCCAAAGGCCTTGTCATTTTCCATTTTGAGGGAATATACTTCATGTTTTTATTATTGTTTATCATTTTTTAGAAAGCTCATTTATGACTCTAGATATCGTTAGTTCAAAAATAAATAACTTTTTCATTTGTTTCATTTTTTCATTTTTTCTATTTTCTTTTATTTTATGGTTGTTATTAAAAGAAGAAATCTAGAGCCTAAGGATTTTAATTGAATTTCTCAGTGCAACACCACCACCTCTCCAGGCTGGAACATTTACTCGTGGGGTTGTGACGATGCGTTGTGATCTCACTACTTGCAGTTCTGCTCACATCTCCCTTCTTGTATCTGGGAGCGCGCAGACTTGTTTCGATGATCAGGTACAAACTCTTATGGCCAACTCATTTCACTATATCACACTTTTAGGAGTTTAAAAAGATAGCTGATTTTTCATTCTTGAAACACTTCAAAAACTGTGAGAAATGGATATAGTTTTTAGTGCTAAGTCACCTTTAATTTTATTTTATTTTTACTTTTAATTATAATAAAATAATATTAAATTATAGGATGATAGGTTAAAATTCTATTTTTACTTGTAATAATAATATAGTAATGAAAATTTAATTTGAAGGTGTTAGTAACTCAAATAAGCTTTAGGAATTGAGTTCATCAGAAGTGAGTTCCTCTAAAGCAAACAAATCGCACTACTCTTTTCAATGCATGTCATTTTCAAAATTTAGATACAAAATTTATAGTGAACAAATTAGTTGTTTTGGTAATGCGCAGAGTTATTTTCATAATTAGAACATGCTCTTATGCCTGTTTGTTTCTCTTTTAGTATCTCTAAGTAATTAGATTTCACTATAAGAAGTGGATTCAAGTATATATCTAAATTATCATTCTTAAAACTCTCCTAGAAGAAGGCACGAAATGGATTTCAATTTTGAGTTCAAAAAAGTCAAATTTTCTTTATTTTTTTTAAAATATTGGAATAATATTAAATTGATAGGTTGATACGTTACATTGTTAATTTTACTTATAATAATAATAAAGTAGTGAAAATTTAATTTGAAGGATGATAAAAAATGAAACTCATTGCATCCTAAACAAACTTAGGAAATGAGTTCACAAGAAGAGAATTCTTCCTGGGTCTATTTGGTTTGAAGTAAAAGGGATCTAAATTATTCCATATATAGAAGTTTTGAAAATATTAGTATTCAGTTTGAAGTTAAAGAAATACCGAGTAAAATTTTAAAGTATTTAGAGTTCACCCTTTAGTTCAATTTTGGTGTATTTTGAAATCATTAGATTTGACCAATTTTCAAATACACGGTAAATTTTCTACCATGGTCATTGTCGCCACCTGCCCGCCTCTTGTCGTTGGCCACCAACCACCAACCACCGCCGGTCAGTTGGTCACTAGTCACGATGATCATTAGGCTTTACACTACATTCATTTAATTTTAAGTCAAACAAAAAAAATCACCTGCATTTATTTTACACTCATAAAAACAAATTCAAAAGCATTTCAAATACATTGCATTCTTTTATGTTACATTTCATTTTACTCTACATTCCTTTTTGAGCAAGTCAAACAGCCCATAAAACAAACAGATTACAGATCTCATTGCCATTCATTTCAAGACCACTCACTTTCAAAAAATGAGATCCAAATTTCTACAGTGCAATAAACTGACGGCCGAAGTAGCTTACCTAAATGATAATTGGACTTCATGGTTTTTTGTAAAAATCCAGCTTCTGGAAAGTCACGTTAAGAATGAGCTCGTTGAAAAAAGTCAGCTAGTTCATGCTCCGCCAAATGGTGATGATGGCAAATTACCGTTACCTGATTCATTGAGTTTTGGCTCAGTAGCGTGTGGAGCATCTGTATTTGAAGTACGCATGAAGGTCCCAACATGGGCTGCTCAGGTATCTTTCTTGCCTTCTTTATTTATGTTGAAGTATCTGAGGAATATTTCCTCTTTATGAAATTTTACGCAAACTAAGCTAAAATCTGGAAGCATTGTGAACATTGTATTATTATTATTATTATTATTATTTTAAATGAAAATACTTATGTTCTGAAGTCATCTTGCATTCAGATGGTTTTGTCCCCAACAAAATTAGTCATGCTAGGTTAAGAATAAAAGCATACTGCTACTTTTTTTGGTGAAAATTCCTTCCCTCTACTATTTTGTCTTTTATCTGGGGCAGATTAGATAATAATCTTGATTATTTAAATAAAAATAATAAAATTAATAGATTTTTCTCGAATTAATTTGAAAGTTAAATCACAGTGGATAAACCACAACACACACAGCATCATCTTTTGGAGGAATCCCTCCCTCTCCCCTATGCCTTCTTCAGGTTAGCTTGGCTCGTAATTGGAACCCAGTTTGAATGAGAGAAATGTTTATTGTTCACTTGGGTCCCTTGCGTCAAACCTCATGTTTTCTTCTTCAATATACTATTTCTCGCATCATTTAAATTATTTTGATTTGTATCCCCAGGTTCTAAAGCATCTTGCACCTGAGATTTCCTATCGCAGCCTTGTTCCTCTTGGAATTGCTAGTGTTCAAGGTACTCCAGTGGCTTCCTTTGAGAAAGAAGATGCAGATCGTCTTCTTTTCTTCTGTACAAGACAAGGGAAGGAGTCATCTATAGAAGAGGTTTTCCTTAACCATATGCCACGATGGTGTTCCTTTCTTATCAGTGAGAGGTCCAGGCTTACTCCAGAATCAAAATCTATCCACCCTGTAAAATTAGTAGGGCCAAATGGAATTATCTATAAGAAAATTGATAGGAATCATATTGATAAAAGATCAGCAGAGAGGATTAACACATCCTTATCGCATCCAAAGAAGAGGTTGAAGATTGCTGCAATGAAGCCAATTCCTCACTTAAGACAGCACAAGATGCTTCCTTTCTCAGTAGTACCTGAGACTGATCCCCCCGATGGAAGTCAAATGAAGCTTAACCCATCGATTGTCCCTTCTACAAAACCTAACGCTGTGCCTGCGGCTCCCTCAAGTCAGAGAAAATCAATGTCAAGTTCTTTCCATACTCAGCAGATTGTTCCTCTAAATCCGCTCCCTTTGAAGAAGCATGGTTGTAATCGGGCTCCTATCCAAGTTTGCCCTGAAGTAAACTGCTGCGTGCTTTCTTCTTTTTTAAAAACAAGCATTTACATACAGAATTTTCTAAGTGTTGATTATTTTCCCTTTATTTTTCTTGTTATCCCATAGGAAGAGTTCTTGAAGGATGTGATGCAGTTCTTGGTTCTTCGAGGACACAGCAGACTTGTTCCCCAAGGTGGTTTGTCTGAGTTCCCTGATGCCATTCTTAATGCAAAGCGGCTTGATCTCTACAATTTGTATAGAGAGGTAGCTTGTTCTATTTTTATTATGTTTGCAAGCTATAATCTTGTTTTATTTTTTTAATGAGGTTATTTTAAAAGCTGAATGTATGCATTTATTATAATCAAAATTTTGATTAGAATGAATCTTAAGGTCTTTGAATTTAGTTTAAAATGAATTTAATATGAATTACTCATATATCGCACTCATTTTAAAATATATCCAAGAATTTTAAGACCCATCCTAACCGTATTTTGAAATTTTTTTAAATTCATTTATCGAAGTTTTGTAATAGCTTTTAACTCTTTGTCTAGGTGGTGTCAAGAGGAGGTTTTTATGTTGGGAATGGCATAAATTGGAAGGGTCAAGTCTTCTCGAAGATGCGCAATCACACATTGACCAATAGAATGACAGTATGTTTCTTTCCTTCTTTTTTTCTCGTAATGATTGTCCTATCTTTTATTTGCTATATAGAGTTAGGGTGTATGAACATAATAAAATAATGGGCTTGAAATCAACATTTGAACTGTGCGTGCAATCACATTGAAATTGTATTTTTGCTGCTTATAGGCCTAATTTGATTGGATGTTTTTTGTACTTTTTCCTTTTTAAAATGGTAAATTTATTTCTTTTTTACTGTTTGGTTCCTCAAACTACGTTCTCAATAACACAAATTTTTTTCATTTTTATGTTGTTTTGAGAAAGTTTTTTATATATGCCTCTTCCTTAGAAAACTCCTTTCTCTGAATCGAGGTTTCTTAAAGTACCTTTTACAAAAGTACCGGATAACCAAACAAAGCCATAATTTAATTAACATTGCGTTTTGAACCTCTATAGTTTCCACGGCTCCTATGCTTATTACGCAAATGATTGTATTTCTTCTGATCTGCTTCGTAGGGCGTTGGGAATACACTTAAAAGGCATTACGAGACATACTTGTTGGAATATGAATTAGCACATGATGATGTTGATGGAGAGTGTTGCTTGTTATGTCATAGGTTACTACTCCAACACTATTTTACTCCCATCACTCTCAGTTTTATTTACTTTTTAATTTATAAGGAAGAAATCCTCTTCTCCTCTTCTTCATTTCTAATTTCAGAACTGACATTCCTATATGTTTCTTGAGCATTTTTACAGTAGCGCTCCTGGCGATTGGGTTAACTGTGGATTGTGTGGTGAGTGGGCTCACTTTGGATGTGATAGACGGCAAGGTCTCGGTACTTTCAAGGTAAGCACCATCTTTCTTTAAATGTGCATATTTCAGTAAAAAAAATTTAACTTTGATGTGAGATATGGCATTCAACACAGGTATTATGTGCCCACGCTAGTATAATTAGTGGTAAAGGGGTATTAACACATTCTAAAAACCCCAATTTTTTAGCACATCATATTGTTTTATGAGGGATGGGCATTAGACCTAATTGGAAGAAATTATTATGTGTGGATGTTGAATACAGTTTACCGTCCGGAGATCAATTAGAATGTGCCACACGTTAGCAGTACCGAGACGGGTACCAAGCAAGAGGTGATGTGGCACATTCTTGTTGGTCTTTGAATGACATTCGGTGTCTGCATACAATAATTTCTCTCCTTAATTGGATGGTCTTCTGGTCTAACTGGGTCAGGAGCGCAGGAGGGTGTGGTCTTGTTAAGAGTTTTGGGCGAGTCAAACCAGCCCGCGCCCCATGTAATCAAGTCCAATCAAGTCAAATGTGAAAAGTTCTGCCCAAACCCAACCAAAAAGCGCTTTTTGTTTGAGTCTAATCATATTACTTGGCGCTTTAGGCCGAGACCGCGCCAGGCCCGATATTTTTCTCTGGTTGGGTTGATCGGGCCACGTTGTTTCTCGCATCATTTGCAACTTTTAACTCAACTTTCCTTTTTCTTTTTAAATTGATATCAACCATCGAATATTTTGGCAGGATTATGCAAAAACTGATGGTTTGGAATACATATGTCCACATTGTAGTCTAACGAATTACAGCAACAAGACTAAACCAACAAAATTGGCCAATGGATATTCTAACGCAGCTGTGTCGCGACACATGTAATTTTTTATCTTCTTTCTTTCTTTTATATATTTCTCCTTCGATAAAGAGCCCCAGATTCAATAAGGGCTGATTTGTTATAGTCGTTCATGTCTATTTAGTGCTAGCTTAGTCTTAAGCCAACAATTCTATGTACCTGTCAGTAAATTCTAGGAAATTAAGAAAATGATCTAAGTAAAAATTGTTTGCTCTTTTGATGTTCCCACCAAATGAAAGGACTTTCATAGTTAAGGGGTTTTTTTTATTTATAATTTTCATAAATTAAAAAATTATGATAAAATATTATGATGTAAATTGTATTAAGATGAATTTTATAATTATTGAAATTATTTTAAAATGAGTGATGTTTATAAGAGTTTGTATTGTATTTGTATTACTATTAATTTGAAATGAAATTTTATAATTTCTAAGTTTATTTTGATTGAATTAACATGAGAATATTCTGACATTTCTTTTTTTTTTTTTCTAATGAAACCTATTGTATATTTATTAAGGGTCAAAATTGACGCTTAAAATATGAATTAATCATGCTAAATACAATTAGTCATGAATTAATTAAGTTAATATTTATTAGGGCAACAAAGTGTATTGATTCATAGTTAAACATGAAATGATAATGCAAGTTATAAAGTAATTTCGGATATGTTATGATGATTATTTAGTAATTGATAGTTATAAATTTATTAAAATAATTAATCATTAAGTAAACAACAATTATAATAATTGATCAAGTATTATATCCCTTGTATAAATTAATCATTGTTGTGGTGATTAGTTTATTTAATTAGAAAACAATGGATAGGCGGCCCAGTTTAACAATATTTAAGTTTTTTTTTTTTTCAAAAATTGGGTTTAAGGCTTCCTAGCTAAAAATAAAAATGTAAATATATTTTTGGGAATAATTCATAATTCATTAGGATAATTTTGATGCCACGGATGAATGCTAAGAGAATATTTCAAATGAAAGGGTTTTTGGGATGGAATGCTCATAGAGTGAAAAGATTTATGCTATTTCCACTCTAAATGTACCCATGCTTGCTTTGCATTATTCTTTATTACTCTGGCATGCACTCTCTTCTCTCTCATCCTTAGTCAAGGATTTGGACCATAAGGTGTTCAATTACTCTACAACGACTAAAATAATAACATCAAATTTTTATCCCACTACATAGAGTTGGCTACATGAATCTTTTTTTCTCTACTGTGTCATGTGAAGAGTTGAATTCTCATTTAAATTTAATAAAGAAATGTCATTTCTAATATTTTTTAACCAAGTCTTTTTCGGTTTACCTCTACCTTTCTTAATATAGGTCAAATCTAAAGCATCTACTCTATTAACAAGGTCATCGGAAGGCCATCGTTTTGAGATGACTAAATCATCTAAGGTGGCTCTCTCTAATCTTATGTGACTGAAGGTACTCCAACCTTTTCAATGATATGCTCGTTTTATATCCAGTCTCTAAGAGTAAATCCACTCATCCACCTAAGCATCCTCATCTCAGCAACGCTTAACTTAATATTATGCTTCTCTTTTAATGACTAACATTATGTGTCATAAAGCATTGCAGGTCTCACCACCATCTTATAAAATTTTCCCTTAAATTTGAGTGATACTTTTCTATCACACAGCAACCATTCATCCACTTTGAGTGGTACTTTTCTATCACACAACAAACCCGAACCATTCCTCAATTTTTAACCATCCAACTTGAATTCTAATAATAATATTCTCATCTTTCACCACCACTATGAAATATAGATCCAAGATATCTAAAATGAGTATACTTATTAATGACTTGATCGTTCAAAGTCACAAATATTCCACTAGATCTATTACTACTAAAACTATACTCAATGTATTTGATTTTATATATATTCAAACGAAAACTTTTAGACTCTAAAGTAGTCCTCTATAATTCGAGTTCACCTTCAACTCCCTCTCTAGTCTTATCAACAAGAAGAATATCATCAACAAAAAACATACATCATGGTACATTCCCTTGCGAATATCTAGTAAGAACATCCATAACTAAAGCAAAAAGATAATGGCTTTAGATTGATCCCTGATGTAATCCAATTGAAATAGGAAAATACTTAGTCAAACCACCTTGTGTTTGAACACAAGTAACAGGTTCTACATGCATATTCCTAAAGACTTGAATATAAGCATTATGAACCCCTTTTTTCTATAACTTTTCATAGCACTTCTTTTGAAACTTTATCATATGCTTTATCTAAATCAATTAATATCATATGCAGATTCTCCTTATTCTTTCTAAACTTCTCCGTCAACCCTCTCAATAAATAAATAGCTTCCATAGTAAACATACCCGGCATGAATCCAAATTGATTTTGAGAAACATTAGTATCACCTCATAACCTATGCTCCATAACACTCTCCCAAAGTTTTAAAGTATGACACATCAACTTAATTCAACTATAATTAACACAATCTTGTGCATCATCTTTATTCTTAAAAATATAAATTTACATACTCATTCTCCACTCATCTGGCATATCTTTTGCCATCAAAATAATATTAAAATTTTTAGTAAGCCAAAAAATTCCTTCATCTCCTAAGCATTTCCACACCTCAATTGAAATAACATTAGGCCCGATATTTTTTCCACACTTCATTTCTATTTTTTTATTATCATGACTAATACTTAGTTTTTGTATCAAAAAGTTGAACTAAATTACTTTCAATCTCTTTTTTTTTTTCTTCTCCACCAATTTGAAGCATTTATAATTTCAAAGAAGGATTTATGTGAAATAAAAGAAAACAAGATGCCACATTTACATAGAACTAAGTGCCCATCAAAGATTATGTGTACAACATGAGCAATCCCGATACAGCTCAATGCACATCAACATCATAGCAAAATTCAAATAAAAAATAATAATAAAAAAAGGTTTCACCTATCAATTCTATTTCCATGTCTTATTTAGCTGAAATATTGGAAGAAAATCCTATCCTGATCTCACCTATTACAAAGAATTTAAGACCCTAATTATAAATATGTTTAAGAAATCAAGGGCAAATTATTGCATCCGATCACCGAACGGAGAAATAGGTTCGAATATTAATAAAATATTATTTTAAATTAAGCGCAGGCAAAACACGAGCAAAGCACAGTCAAAGCGCAAGTCAAAAGAACAGGTAAAGCGCAGTCAAAGCGCAACTAAAACGCACCTAAAGCACAGTCAAAGCGCAAGTCAAAAGCGCAGGTGACGTGACAAATTTTTATTTGATGTCCGAACCTATCCTCCGCATCCGGTGACAGGATGCAATAATTTCCCGGAATCAAGGCCCCTTTAGCTTTTGGTCTTTTGAATATACAAATTCTAAAAACTCCTAGAGAGAGAGTTCAAAAGTAATCATCCTCCAATCACAGATCAATCACTTGAGGGTAAGTTTAGCACCACAAAATAGTCTGCAGATAAACTTAATTAGAATTTCATTTGAAACACTAAAAAATAAAGAGTAAAGTACAATGCATGAAATTAGGGCATCCATAGTTGACCCAATCACTTTAGAATAAATTGAACTAGTTTTCATCTATCATAAATTCATTAAACTATCCCCTAATTATTTATGCTTTCTTCTCCACCAATTTGAAGCATTTATAATTTCAAAGAAGGATTTATGTGAAATAAAAGAAAACAAGATGTCACATTTACATAGAACTAAGTGCCCATCAAAGATTATGTGTACAACATGAGAATCCCGATAGTGCTCAATGCACATCAACATCATAGCAAAGTTCAAATAAAAAAAAAAGGGAGATTTACATACATACCACCCTATAATACTCTATTTACATATTTAACACCTAAAACTTTAATATTACATACATACCACCCTTAGTTTATCTTCATGTCAAATATGAGTAGTAGAAATGAAATATATGAGTGCTAGGAATGAAATATGAGTGGCATATTTGATATTAAAATAATATAGAGTGGTATATGTGTAATATTAAAGTTTTGGGTGTTAGATATGTAAATAGGATGGTATAAAGTGGTATGTATGTAAATTTCCCAAAAAAAAATCACCTATCAATTCTATTTCCATGTCCTATTTAGTTGAAATATTGGAAGAAAATCCTATCCTGATCTCACCTATTACAAAGAATTTAAGTCCCTAATTATAAATATGTTTAAGGAATCAAGGCCCCTTTAGCTTTTGGTCTTTTGAATATACAAATTCTAAAAACTCCTAGAGAGAGAGAGAGAAACAGAGAGAGAGAGAGAGAGAGAGAGAGAGAGAGAGAGAGAGAGAGAGAGAGATTTCAAAATTAATCATCCTCCCAATCACAGATCAATCACTTGAGGGTAAGCTTGGCACCACAAAAAAGACTTCAGATAAACTTAATTAGAATTTCATTTGAAACACTAAAAAATAAAGAGTAAAGTACAATGCATGAAAATAGGGCATCCATAGTTGACCCAATCACTTTAGAATAAATTGAACTAGTTTTCATCTATCATAAATTCATTAAACTATCCCCTAATTATTTATGCTCTATAGTAATAACAATTATCTGGAGAATATCTACATCATCTGTTAACATAACTCAGTATAACCAACCCTATCATTTCCTTAAGCTTCCTGTAGATCAACCAACAAGAACTATCATACTTGAATTCAGGTTACCTCCCATTGCCCATTGGCTTGGTGACCTCCTCCTGCTTCGCAATTACGCCGGGAAAGCAATTCGCCTCGTTTTCGTGATCATCCGGCTCTCTTCGATCGGAGGGGGTGGAGGCAATGGAGCCCTTCTGGTTGGAAATGGCAGTAGCAAGTGCTATTGGCATGAGGCAGAGGCCTTTGTTCTGGAGGTATTGCATGGCAGTGGTGACACTGGACTCCATTAGTTTCACAACCTCCTGCTCAAACGCTAGATTGTCCTGGGACTCTAATATATCTACTCCTTGGTTGATTGTTGATAGATGCAAGCTCCCAGTTTCCTGCATAATGAATGTTTGGGTCAATCTTAAGCATTAATGAAATTGACTCCAAAAAAAAAAATATGAAATTCTCTCATGAAAAGTTTTTCTTCATCACTTTCCGTTCAAATAAATGGCAAAGTTGATGGTATAAACAAATTAGTTTAGATTTAGGCTTCGTTTGAGACGGCTTTCTTCTTGCTTAAAATTTTTGTACTAAAAAGCTGTTTTAAGAAGCAGCAAAAAAGTTGTCCCAAATGAAGCTTTAATAAGTTGAGGGGCGCATATCTAAAAAGTCTAAAAATCATTTTGACCATTTACTTATTTTTTGTGTTGTGTAGTAACTTGCAACATAATGCAACTAAATATAGCTTTCATCAACTTAAAATATAACCAAATAAATATATTCTGCTTGTAAGTTCAAGAGTTCCCAAACATGAGCAATAAGAAGAATCACAGTTTAGTGGATGCTTCGCACATAGAGAACTTTAGGTCTTTAGCATGTAGAAGATGTATTCATTTGAAGTTTGCATGAATGCAAAGAGAACAAGAAAAGCATTGCTAGCTAAGTACAGGCAGCTTGAAGTAAATCTAATTAAACCTATACATTTTGGTATAACTTTGCAATGATAATCTGGAAATGCAAGCAATCAATCACGGGCACTAAACTTAACAGTTGGAAACCACATAAAAAGGAAGTACTAATATCTTTGAAGCTTTGTTCAAGGATAAAGAAATTCCTCAATATAATACAAAATTAATATGCTGTGGGAGGGGGCATGCATCTTTGTTAACCGTTCAATCGTTAATATAAACATGTTTCTTAGACAAAAGATGTCCTTCCAATAGGATTGTCATCAAGAAGTATTTTTTTTTTCTTTTTTTTTTATTGTCATCAAGAAGTATAATTGCGAGTAAGGGCCTATTAAATTAAAACTATAGCTCCCGAAATGATTATTGAAAAGGAATCCTTTATCAACTTATGAAGGATGGAAAGATTCCAACAGTTGAAAGAGATATCAATGGAATTTATTTACCAAAAGAGAGATTCCCAAAAAATCATAGCATAAGTTGACCCTATATATTGTTAATCTGGCCTTTAGGAAGATGATATATTTTAAATCAAATAACATTCAAGGAATAGGAAATGGAAGTGAAGTTCATCGAAGTTATACTTCCCATAATTTCCTATATAATTCATGGTAAGTTACCAAGGATACTCCTTCGATGAGAAGGATATCATTAAGGGGCTACAGAAATTCCTGTAAACTGAGATGATTTTGTTTTTACTGCTAATAATAATTGGGATGCGGGAGAGTTTGAGGTTGTTAGGGAAGCCTTTTTTGTCAATCCTTAAAACCCTAGCGAAACCTACATAACCAATATTAGAAATTAAATGGGAATGAGACACCCACCTCTGCCTGGACATCTGTGATCAGAGGTACAACCGCACCAGCTGCACCAAGCCTGCTCATGCTTAGGACCTCCAATAATATTACAAAGGACGTCAGAAATCAACAATAGTCAGGTAAAAAATGAAGGTTAAAATAATGGACATTCGTGTGCCAACCTTGACTTGTAGCTGAAGAAATTTCACATAGTCGATGATCTCATCAAGCATTGATGCCTTGTCAGTCTGCATAAAGCAAAAAATTTGGGTATCAACAGCTCCCAATCTAAGAAAGAATAAAGAGGCCAACTTCATCGTATAAATTAGGTAGGGAATTATTCACATTGAAAGTATGTTCTTTTGCAGTATAAAAGGAAAGACATTACCCAAAACATTGACATTAATGAAAAAGAAAAGGGTGTAAACATTGTGCACAAGTTCTTTCTAAAAGAATTGTAAAGACCCTCTCTACATGCTACACCTCTATAGCAACAGCATGTTAAAATAATAGAAGGCGGATAAACCACAAAGTAGCACGGAGAAATTTAACATTCAGAGAGACAAGACATTTAAGTAGGAATTTAGCAAGAAGATTGGAGAGAGAGTACAACAACAACAACAAGCCTTTATCCCACTGTGGGGTCGGCTACATAAATCATTTTTCTTCATTGTATCCTATTAAGAGTCAAATTCTCCTCAAAATCTAGTAAAAAAAGTCATTTCTAATATTTCTAACCAAGTATTTTTAGGTAAACTTCTACCTTTCTTAACATAAGTCAAATCTAATACATCTACTTTCCTAACCAGGACATTAGAAGGCCACCATTTTATGTGACCAAATCATCTAAGGCGACTCTCTCTAATCTTATCTTCCACTAGAGTACTCCAACCTTTCCACATATATGCTCATTTCGTATCATGTCTCTAAGAGTAAATCCACTCATCCACCTGAGCATCCTCATCTCTGCAACACTTAATATTATCCTTCTCTTTTAATAGCCAACATTCTGCATCATAAAGCATTGCAGATCTCACTAACATCTTATAGAATTTTTTCTTAAGTTTGAGAGGGACTTTTCTATCACACAACAAGTCTGATGCATTCCTCAACTTCAACCATCCAACTTGAATTCTATTAATGATATACTCATCTATTTCACCATCACTCCGAACAATAGACCCAAGATATCTAAAACATATACTCTTATTAATGACTTGATTGTTCAAAGTCACAATCCCCCCACTAGATCTATTATTACTAAAATTACATTCCATATATTCAGTTTTAAATCTACTCAAACAAAAGCCTTTGACTCTAAGGTTGCCTCCATAATTCACGTTTACCTTCAACTCCCTCTCTAACCTTATCAACAAGAAGAATATCATCAGCAAAAAGCACACATCAGGGTACAACCTCTTGCAAAATGTCTAGCGAGAACATCCATGACTAAAGCAAAAAAAGATATGGGCTTATACACATAAATGATGTTTTTTCCTCCTTCAAACTCCAATTATAGGTCCATGGATAGCACGATGAGTAATGATTTGGAAGAACATGATTTTGAAAGATGCTCATGAGGGGGTTGTTATGGGAGAGAAACCATGATTTCTTAACCACGAAATCATACAAGGTAATGTCGTGGAGTGATTTGACTAATAACATGACATCTAATAATAATTATGTACAATTATCACCATCCTAACAAACTTAAATAATATTAGTATGTTTTCTTCCAATAAATGTGGATAAATTAGTGATTAATCTTAAATAATATTGCGCACCTTAAGGTATGTTCCCAAAAATCTTAATCCATCACGTCCTTTCTAATGGGGCCCACATGCTTTAAAACCCGCATTCTTTAAAATCTCAGCATTTGGGAACATGTTATGAAGCTTTGGGCCATCTAATTTTAGGTGGGTTCACTAAATGCTCAACTTTAGTTTATATTATACATTCCTTTCAAGTAAATATAACGAAATGCTTCTGACTTCCTTTGGAATTGATGCCAACTATGGATTATATGCATTAGCTAAGTTTAGGTCGAATGAATCATGGCATTAGTTTCTTTGATCATTTAATGATGCAATTGAGCCTATAAGATCATCGAGAGATCTCTGTGTCAGATATATCAAGCATTTGGGTTTGGTATGAAGTTACAGGGAAGTTTTTGCATTGGCTTTATCAAAATTTCAAAAAACATCTTAAAAAAAAGTTTCGAGAAAGCTGTAAGGCAAATTAGCATCACAAATGTTATGAAATTTATGACAAAATGTATTGAGAATACATCCAATATCAAAATTTCAACTAACACGTAATGGATATTTTCTCTCTTAAGAAGGATATACAAGATTGCCCCAAGTAGTGGGATAAATGCTTGATGTTATTGTTGTAAGAAGGATATACAAGATTGGTGAATAGAACGTGATATGACTAAATGAACTCTATCTTTGATAGTCATTTTAGATACTGTACAATAAGCATGATTGTGTTTGAGTGCTTAAATGGTAACCTTAGAAATGCTCGAGATCTTCCATTACAAGCTCTTATTTGTTCAAACATTCACATTTTCTTTTGATGGTATGGGGACGCTCAGCAACTACAAATCGCAAGTGAATATGTATTTGCATCAAGGATTAATGTCATTGCTTTGAGCTCAAGGAAAGAAGATATCCTTGTCAATGAGGATTAATGTCAACAAATTCTAGGTGTTTGACATTACATATTGAACCTTTCAAGTGGGCAACATTAGCGACATAATTTGTACGTGAGATTGTAGTTGACCACTTTTATACCTTCTTTCTTGGTCAAAAGTTATTGCTATGTTTGGTCAGCACGGATGGACAATATTGCACCCTTATCTTGCCACTTTATTACCGGCAAAGACAAGCTTGCTTATGAAGGCAAATTTTATTCTGGATATATATATATATACTTGTTTAGTTCCGACCATCTTTAGGCGTTCTTGAGTTTCTTATGCATGTACTTATTTAAGATTAAATGTCCAATTTTATTGTGAGGAGAATGCAAAGACAAAAGACCATTGTGTTAGGTACATCATGATAAACTTCATCATTGAAATATACATGATAAATCTAAAGCATTTCAAAATTAATTCATATGAGATGCACTAGCATAAAAAGAAGTTACAAGTTGGAGTAGAAAAGGCAATGAAGGATCCAATCATAAAAACATAAATGATAAGCCCAACTACTAAATTCAGAGATAATTCTTGTATTTGAATGCTAAGAACTGCATAAATTATCAACCGAAAATGGTTTTATACTTATTTTTATTAAATGATGAGTTGCTCGAAATTAATTCTTTCATTTGAAATTAATTTGATATAACTTAATCTTTATTAAATACTAGCCCTTCTTAGGTTCATACAATACCCAAACAAGATGACATATATCATGGCTTGATTGGAACCGCACAATCTCAAGGATGATGGCTATGTTCTCTTCATGACTTGCTTGAATTCTATTGATTTGTTGGGACTCAAACTAAAAATTAAATTGAATCAACTCAAGCTCAACTTAATATACAATGAAAATGTGGAAATACATGCAAGTATATTTAAGAATTACATATCACATTATATATATATATAAACAGCCAAACACACACACACACTTGATATGTTGTGTGCATACGTGTGTGCAAGTGCATGCATTCATTTATATTTTTCATAAATCTTATCTTATAACCAAATACTAAGTACATATATTTAAGTAATGATATTGTTTAGTAATTATAAAGGTAGTTTAAAATTTTAATACACTTAGGTTTGCTTCAACTGGGGACTTGACTTGAAATCAATCAATTTCATATTCACTTGAATTAGACTTAAATCAAAATTTTCAATATTGAGCTTAGTTCGACTCAGTTAAACATGCCTTGATATCACTTTGGGTTTTAAAAGCTAAATTAATTGCCTTCTTGTGGTGATTTGTGCTTTGTTGCGTCCATGTGGTTGCCAAGTTATGGCAGTTATATGGTTGGAAATTGGAACGGAGGAGCAAATCATCTCATAATAGGGCGGTTAGTGATGTCGATTGCCCCATTAGTTGATGATTTTCTACGAAGTGAATTTTTAAGACAATTGTTTCAAATTGTTGAAATGGGACGATTGAAAACTTGATCCCAAATCTATTTACAGTAAAGTCATTTTGTTTGTACATTTAACAATTTCATTGATAATATGAATGAGATATAGCCTTATATGTCTATGAAATTGGTTGATTAATGTGGATGAGGACAAGTATCGTTACTAAATTGGAAGCTGGGGAAAACAAGAAATAAATTATGTGAAGTCTTTTGCTTTGATATAGGATTCGTAAGCCTTATCCATGTAAACCATGACAGTCATGGTTAATGCACATCTAACACATGGTAAATGGATTTTTGAATACCTGGAATTATGATAACTCCTATCTTACTTAGTTTTTCAGCTTTTTAAAAATTGCTTTTGGTGCTTGCTTTGGTTGGGCAGGCCAAACTTGCTCTGGGTCAACCAAGGGAGGTGTCCAGCTTGCATGATGCCCTGCAGGCTGAGGCATTATCTTGGACGCCTGCGACACTTTCACTCTCTGTAAGTGGGGCCATCCCCTTATGTTATTATTTATGTGAACTTAAATTAAATGATTAGAAAACCTAATTTAAAATATATTTTTCTTCTTAATTAATTTACCAAGTAAATGTCTTGAACTTATATTTAAAGTCCATAGAAAAAAAAGTCTAAGCAAACCCAAATTGCTCTCCATTTGCTCATTGCTCTCTAACTAGCCTACTTAGTGCTCTTTCCCTCAGTGACTAGCTCGATTGACTCGCTTGGTTAATCTCCTTCATTGACATAGCTCCCTCACCAACTTACTGGATGACTTAATCTCCATTAACTCGCTAATTAGAACATCTCATTTTAGTAGTAAGGACACTTTTTAGTCTTTTTGTTGTCTATTTCATTTAGGAAGTCAAAGATCTTGACTCTTTGTAGGCTCTTATAATGGATCTCAAAAACCTATTATGAGATTTAAACCCATATTGTATTTAGTATTTTTTCTGATTTTTATTGTTTGGATGACATGAGCTTTTGGGCTTAATGAAATTTTAGAGATTGGTTATTAGGTTATTTTCACATATTTGGATGTTTGTACTATATACCTTTATTTTGCCCTCTTAATTAGAGATTTGGATGTCAAACTCTCGACTAATATTTCAGATTTGTGTTATTAGATTTTGTAATTCA